GGGGTGCCCCATCTGCCTTTGGGATGTCCTCAGGACAGCTCCTGGGGGGAGAGGTCTGCATGGAGCCAGTCCCTGGGATTTAATAAGACACTTGTTGTACGTTAAATATCAAGGGCTGATAGGAAACATGTGTTCTGAGGATTAACAGCCGTGTAAAAGATAAAGCCATGAGTTAAACCTCCAAACAGGGCATTTCAAATAACGCATCACGGCTGCAATCTGCACTATTGGGGTAACCAGGAGTGGGATGGGGAAGGTAAAATGTGTATTGCAGCTCATGGTGCTCCCAAATCCTTGGGATGGGCTTGGGACTGGGTTTCCTGCCAGCAAGGTGATGCCCAGGGATGCTGGATCACACAGGGGTGACGTCAGCTCCTTCTTTCCCCATTTCTTCCTCCCTTTCCCCCTTCTTCTAATGTTTTTTTTTTTTTTTCTTTTCCCAGGCCCCAGTTTCTCCCCTGTCGAGGCAAACGCTTTGGCTAATTAGCAAAACGTGTCAAAGAAAATGATTAATGTCCCGGGAGGAGGCTGAGCTGCCTTTGTGCCGGCATTGCCTGACTTCTGCTCTTAAAGGTTTTATTAAAAGATAAGGGAGCTCCTGACGGGTGAGCAAAGCATGTGCTTCCCTGGGTGTTAAAGGGTCGGGGAAGCAGGGGATGTGGGGCAGATTGGGGTCACCCTCGGGGGAGAGGAGAGGGGCTCGTGTTTCCCTGCCTCTGTGCGCCACCGTCACCACCGTGTCTGGCCTTGGCAGGGGAAAAGACTTTAAAAAAATGGCTGAATGCCTCCTTTATTCTTGCAGGGCAGGTAACTCAATCTCCTCAGCTGGGCTGTGAATGTTGCTGTGTTACAGGGCTCTGCCTGGCTGCATGCTCCGGGAGTGATGCTCTGGGGGGTCCTGGGGAGGGGATGCTCAGGATGGGCATCCCAGGGTGGGATGGGATGCTGGGGCTTGGGCACAGCCAGGCTCCTGAACAGGACAGCGGTGGCAGCAGGGACAGAGGTGCTTGGGCATGGGTTTGATAGTCCCTGTGGTCAGAGAGGTGCCTGTGCTCAGGCTGGAGCCCAGTGGGACATCCCTGACAATTTGCTGTGGGCTGAACCCCCATCCCAGCTCCCTCCTGGGGATCCCAGGCCCAGGTGGGCAGCAGAGGCACAGGAGGGAATGTGAGGCATGGTCCCACTGGGCTCCTGCCAGGACCACCATACACAGCATCCAACTGTCCTCATCTCTCATGGCTTTGGATGTGTTTTCAGCAACCCTCAAAATACTCTTCTAGCAACCCAAATCACTTCAACGCCCCCAAAACCAGCAGCCCTTGCAGAGGGGTCTTGCAAAAGGCAAAAACTTCCCAGCAGCTCTGCTGAGGGATCACGTAAACCAGAGCTGGCAGTGCCACAGCATCCCTGTGCCATGCCAAAATCCCATCTGGGACATCAGCCTGGGAACAGGGAGAAGGTAAGAGGGGTGGGAGACCCACCAGCAGCATTCTGGTTGTTTTATCAAAGCAGGAGCGATTCCCAAACCCGGCAGACACTGATGTCTGAGCCCCTGGATGCACATCAGAGGGGGTTTGGGAGGGGGCACAGCTGGCAGGAGCCTCGGGAGGGGCTGCAGGAGCTGCTCTGTGAGGTTTTCCTCCAGCAAACAGACCTCTGGGCTTAATAAGCTATTTGTAAAACTGGCTGTGGATAAACAAGAGGCTGTGTGTCAGGCTGAAGGCGGCCTCGCAGGGCTCCGCCGCGCGGGGTGGGACCTCAGCACAGAAATATTTTCAAGATAAACAGAGGAAAATGAGTCCTGGAGGAGGCTGGAGCCACTGGCAGCAGCATGCTGCTCCTCTCCAAGATTATTTCGGGGCAGGAACTTGGCTTTCTACACACTGCAGGCTTTTTTTTTTTTTTTTTGCTTTCTGCACACTGCAGGTTTTTTTTTTTCTGCCTCTGAAGGGAACCTCGCGTGCTGCTGATTTAGGAATAAACCTGAGGAGCGGTGGGCACTGAAGGCAGCAGTGAGGAGATGTGCGGAGCCCGGGGCTTGCAGGGGAGTTTTGGGCAGAGGGCGAGGAGCTGGGATGCACAGCTGCTGCTGCAGATCCCCCGGGTCAGAGCTGCCTTCCCTGGAGAACCCTTGGGCTCAGGTAACAATACTGGGTTGGGGGTGTTCAGCTCAGAGAGGAGAAGGCGCGGAGCCCGGGGCTTGCAGGGGAGTTTTGGGCAGAGGGCGAGGAGCTGGGATGCACAGCTGCTGCTGCAGATCCCCCGGGTCAGAGCTGCCTTCCCTGGAGAACCCTTGGGCTCAGGTAACAATACTGGGTTGGGGGTGTTCAGCTCAGAGAGGAGAAGGTTCCAGGAAGATTTTAGAGCCCCTTCCAGTGCCTAAAGCGGCTCCAAGAGAGCTGGAGAAGGACTTTGGATAAGGGCATGGAGTAACAGGACAAGGGGGAATGGCTTCCCACTGCCACAGGGCAGACTTAGATTGAATATATTGAATATAAGGAAGAAATTCCTTATATTGAATATAAGGAAGAAATTCCTTATATTGAATATAAGGAAGAAATTCCTCTCTGTGAGGGTGGGGAGGTCCTGGCACATGGTGCCCAGAGAAGTTGTGTTTGCCCCTGGATCCCTGGAAGTGTCCAAGGCCAGGCTGGATGGGGCTTGGAGCAACCTGGGATAGGGGAAGCTGTCCCTTCCTGGGGCAGGAGGTGGAAAAAGATGGTCTTGAAGACTCCCTTCAACCCAAACCATCCTGGGATTCTGTGACTCCAGAGTGAGCAGCAGAGCTGCCCTGCCTGGCTGCTGGTGCCTCCTGCCCTCCATCAGCTCCTCTGTTTCCCAGCAAAGGTAGAGGCAACTCCGTGGTGCCCCAGGGCAGGATATGGGCACTGCCCTGCTCTCTGCCAGGCTGGGGAATGGGCTCCATCCTTCCATCCTCTCTATCCTTCCAGCCTCAGTGTCCTCTTCATCCTCCCCACCCCCTCCATCCCACCATCCCTGGCCTGGGGGAGTTTGGTGCTGGTTTCCTTCTCTGTTCTGTGCCTGGTCTTTAAACTCCATAAGCATGGATTGACACCAGCCTGGGCAGAGCTGGGCTTGGGGCACCGAGGCTGGGCCAGCCCCGGCCTCAGCAGCTGAGATCTCCCAGTGTATCTCTCCTTCTCCTCCCCACCCCCAGCAAATTTAATTAAAAGTCATTCAGATTCCTTTGAAAGAAAATGTCATCCGTCGACACAATTACACTTTAACTAACCAAAGCTGTTACAGTTCCTATATATATTGGAATCAGGCTGTCGTTATTAGTTCTAAGTAAGTAATTTATTCCCATTATTGTGTTCAAATTACAGGATATTACCCCCTGGGGAAATAATCCTGTTATTTGAAATGTAAAAAAGAATTCACATGGACAACAATGGATTCCTAAATGAACCCAACAACAGCCCCCAATTCCACTGCGGCATCACTTGCCTCAGATAGGGAAAATATTAAGTTTCTTTTAAAAAGGTTCTTGTCTCCTCTCTTTCTCTTCTCATGCCCCAGGTAAGGTAAAATGGGCTTCTCCTCTTCTTCAAGTGCATCAATTTATTGAGGGAATCCTGGAAGTGAAGGAATTTGGTGGGGAGCATGGGGGAGGCAGATACATATATATATATATATTTTTTTTTTTTTTAAATATATATATATAGGCTCCGCCGCGCGGGGTGGGACCTCAGCACAGAAATATTTTCAAGATAAACAGAGGAAAATGAGTCCTGGAGGAGGCTGGAGCCACTGGCAGCAGCATGCTGCTCCTCTCCAAGATTATTTCGGGGCAGGAACTTGGCTTTCTGCACACTGCAGGTTTTTTTTTTTCTGCCTCTGAAGGGAACCTCGCGTGCTGCTGATTTAGGAATAAACCTGAGGAGCGGTGGGCACTGAAGGCAGCAGTGAGGAGATGTGCGGAGCCCGGGGCTTGCAGGGGAGTTTTGGGCAGAGGGCGAGGAGCTGGGATGCACAGCTGCTGCTGCAGATCCCCCGGGTCAGAGCTGCCTTCCCTGGAGAACCCTTGGGCTCAGGTAACAATACTGGGTTGGGGGTGTTCAGCTCAGAGAGGAGAAGGTTCCAGGAAGATTTTAGAGCCCCTTCCAGTGCCTAAAGCGGCTCCAAGAGAGCTGGAGAAGGACTTTGGATAAGGGCATGGAGTAACAGGACAAGGGGGAATGGCTTCCCACTGCCAGAGGGCAGAGTTAGATTGAATATATTGAATATAAGGAAGAAATTCCTTATATTGAATATAAGGAAGAAATTCCTCTCTGTGAGGGTGGGGAGGTCCTGGCACATGGTGCCCAGAGAAGTTGTGTTTGCCCCTTGATCCCTGGAAGTGTCCAAGGCCAGGCTGGATGGGGCTTGGAGCAACCTGGGATAGGGGAAGCTGTCCCTGCCTGGGACAGGAGGTGGAACAAGATGGTCTTGAAGATTCCCTTCAATCCAAACCATCCTGGGATTCTGTGACTCCAGAGTGAGCAGCAGAGCTGCCCTGCCTGGCTGCTGGTGCCTCCTGCCCTCCATCAGCTCCTCTGTTTCCCAGCAAAGGTAGAGGCAACTCCGTGGTGCCCCAGGGCAGGATATGGGCACTGCCCTGCTCTCTGCCAGGCTGGGGAATGGGCTCCATCCTTCCATCCTCTCTATCCTTCCAGCCTCAGTGTCCTCTTCATCCTCCCCACCCCCTCCATCCCACCATCCCTGGCCTGGGGGAGTTTGGTGCTGGTTTCCTTCTCTGTTCTGTGCCTGGTCTTTAAACTCCATAAGCATGGATTGACACCAGCCTGGGCAGAGCTGGGCTTGGGGCACCGAGGCTGGGCCAGCCCCGGCCTCAGCAGCTGAGATCTCCCAGTGTATCTCTCCTTCTCCTCCCCACCCCCAGCAAATTTAATTAAAAGTCATTCAGATTCCTTTGAAAGAAAATGTCATCCGTCGACACAATTACACTTTAACTAACCAAAGCTGTTACAGTTCCTATATATATTGGAATCAGGCTGTCGTTATTAGTTCTAAGTAAGTAATTTATTCCCATTATTGTGTTCAAATTACAGGATATTACCCCCTGGGGAAATAATCCTGTTATTTGAAATGTAAAAAAGAATTCACATGGACAACAATGGATTCCTAAATGAACCCAACAACAGCCCCCAATTCCACTGCGGCATCACTTGCCTCAGATAGGGAAAATATTAAGTTTCTTTTAAAAAGGTTCTTGTCTCCTCTCTTTCTCTTCTCATGCCCCAGGTAAGGTAAAATGGGCTTCTCCTCTTCTTCAAGTGCATCAATTTATTGAGGGAATCCTGGAAGTGAAGGAATTTGGTGGGGAGCATGGGGGAGGCAGATACATATATATATATATATTTTTTTTTTTTTTAAATATATATATATATATATATATGGGTGTCTCCCCTTAATTTGGTGGTGGGAAGGGAGCCCTCAAAGGGTGGGATGTGAGTCCCCAGCACAGCTCTGTGTGTTTCTGCTGGAGCTGGGAACCTTTGCCTTCCTTCGGCAAAGAGCTGCCGAGGTTCTTTGGAAACACTGTTCCCTAGATCAAGATCTTCACTGAAGGCAAATAACAGCTCGTCTCTGCAACACCCAAACATAAGCAACTAATTTGGACCACCGAAAGGAAAAAGGGGGAGGGAAAATAAAAGAAAAGAAAGAGAAAGAGGAGGAAGAGGGAGGGGAGGGAAGAAAATCAGATACACTTGTAACCTGATTACAACAGCCAGCTATGTGTGCAAAATCACAATGCAGCTCTATAATTAAATCTCTCTTTCCCCCTCCTGCCGAGCTCTTTCCTCTAACAGGCGCGGTACAAAAACAGTCGTTAGGACATCAAATTCCAGCTCCAACAAGAGGGGACTTTTTTGTCTATAGCTGCCTGGCTCGTCTTTAAGGAAATAATAATTATAAGCCCAGTGCTGCTGGCTGAGGAGCTTTGTGGAGCAGAAAGGGCTGGTCTTGTCCAATCACCCCTTCCCCCACGCAGAGGGCTGGGTGATGGGAACAGAGATGGGATAGCCCTGGAGCCAGCCCTGGACACCCCCTCCTTGTGCTGGATCCAGGGGAGAGGAAACCCTGGGGGCTAACAAGATGCTGGGAGTCACAGAGCCCTGCTGAATCCACCTCATGTGTTCTAGCACCTGCAGTTTGGTGGCACAGGGCACTCCCAGGTGGGTCTGGATGTTTGGGAGTGCACAAAGCACCTGTGAGGGATGTGAGGAGCCAGCGGCTTCAGGGACAGTGGGAGAACTCCTTCCATAGTGTTTCCACAAGGGTTTCCCCCCTGCCAGATGTGGGCTGTAGCATGATGGGGGGATGCCATGGAAGGGATCAGGTCAATGAGCCCCCAAAAGCAGCAGGGAAGGGACCCCCCAGCACGGTGGATGGGAGGTGGGGAGCAGCGTTGGCAGCCTTTCCCCAGCCCTGCCTGTTGATTTACTCCACAGTGGTCACAGAGAGCTATTCCCATCCCTGTGACACCCAGCACGTGCTTTTGCTGGCAGCTGCAGGCTGGATTCAGCCTCAGGGACCCAGTTCCTCGAGGGCAGGCTCCTGCTTGCTTCCTCGAGGTATTTTTGGGAACAAGTCTTGCATCCCACCTTCTTTCCCACTGCGAGCAGAGAGAAGGTGTATTGAGCTTCTTGCAACTGCTGCAACGACTCACATGACAGCAAAGGAAAAAACCTGGCACCAGGAAACCCTCCAAAAGGCCCCGAAGTGCAAGATAACCAGCAGTGAGACAGGATTTATCCACCACAGCTCGTCCTGGCAGCCAGCACGTGCAGGAGGGCACGACCGAGGGCGGACACGGGCTCTGCAACGCGCGGCATGCGACACGGAAACTCAGATGCTGCTCCAATAAAGCTGTGCAGGTTTGCTTTTAATGGCAATTAACAGCTGTTAAAAGGTGAGGGATCTATTCTGCTAACACCCAGTGCTTCTCATGCCTTTCATGAAGGGATTTGAAAATACATTTGTGAGTGTTAATTCTAAGCCACCCTAATGTACCCCGGGGAGGTGGATGGGTTTACCCTGTGTTCAGGCGGGGAAGCTGAAGCAGGCCAGGGCACAGAGTGAGGATGAACATTCAGTGCTGGCAGAGGAGCTGAAATCCATGTCTGGCTCTGGAAGAGGGATGGGAGCAAGCCAGGCACCAGCCAGCAGCATCAGTGCAGTTTTCACCAGCACTTCCCCAGTCTTTTATTTTGTGGGGAGATTAACTTGGTGCAAAACCAAAGGCACTCACGAGTTTAACCTTCAGCAGGACCCTCACGCTGGGGGGGGCACGTAGGAAATCGTCTTTCCCTGGGAGATGCTGCAAATCTGGATTTTCCAGTTCCTGGAGGGCTCTGCTTGTTTAAATTAGAAGCAGATAGGAGAGGTGAATTTTAAGAAGGACAGAGCAAAGGCACACAAGTATGCAGTTAACTTCTAAACTTCTTTCTCTGGCTCTCCCGCTGAGTAAATGCTTTAGGAGCTTCAAACCACAGCTTTTAATATCTCCTTAACATGCCCCGCGATTCCTTCCCCCCTGTCAAAACAGCGAGAGCAGCTGTGAATATTTTCCATTTTAGAATGTTTTGTATGCATACTAAAGTACCTGCAACTCCAGTGGGCTGGGATATGGAGAAATGCTGGAGCCAAGGGTATCTATTTTATATCAAACCTTAAAATAGCACATGCTCCTGCCTCTCTCTTGCTCATGTCCTGCATCCAGGAGGGTATTTTTGATTTAACTGACAGATCAAGGGAAAAATCCCCAATTTACTCCATTGATGCAGAAGGTCTTGTCATTCTGAGCTCAGCTCACCTGGATGGAGGGTTGTTTTAAACTCCCAAATGCAGAACCTGTAATAGCGGGGTGTTGTATGGGGACTGCAGTTTTGGGGAGGTTTCCCATGCACGTTTCTCCACTAAACCACATTTTTTCCTCTGAAAGGTGTAACTGCTGTTTCCGTGCCTTACAACCAATTTAGCAGCTGATCTGTAGCCAAAAAATGCAGGCAGTAATTACAGCTTTGGGGTTGGTGCTCCTCTCAAAGCTCTCTATGGGTTGTGAATGTCAGCCCTCCTCCCTGGCTACTTTTTCTCCCTGATCTTGGATGAAAAAAGCTTATTATTGGGTAAAAGGGAAAAAAAAAATAAATCCAGCCTGACGTATCCAAGAGCCAGTCTAGCTGTGAAAAAAGCCCAGTAGAGGGGCTTGGTGGAGGTCGAGGAAAGCAAAGGGCACCCAGCATGGGGCAGGTCCTGGCACTGGGGGTCCCAGCTCAGGATTTGGGGTGGAAGTAAGTGCACAGGTGGCAGAGCAGGAAAACAGGGTGGGATTGTGCATAAATACCCACCCTCCTGTGCCAGGCAAGGAAAAAAACCCATCAGCCTGTATTTGGACTCAAAACCAGCCTGGTTTGGGACATGTTTGGCTTTACAAACCCCAGAGCTGAGGGATCAGAGCTGCTGTGAACTGGGGGGAGGGCACCCCCTGGCCCCTCTCCCTTCTCCCCTGCTCTGGCTGGGGTGGTGAGGATGCTGCAGCCCCCAGCTGCTGCCAGGCACTGGGTCCAGCCCCTGGTGGGGGTCGTTTCTTGGGCTCCCCTCTCCGTGCAAAGCCCACTGCCAGGCTGAGCATAAGCCTTATAATCAGCCAGGATTTATGGAGAAAACCGAAATCCTGAGATGTTCTGGTCATTAATCAGAAATTCTTCGCTCAGTTCCGAAACTGTTTCCCTGGGGATTTCCTCATTGGGACCCCCCCACTCCACAGCCCCCTCCCCAGGGATGGCAGCTCCTTCACTGCAGGCACAGGGCTGGGGTGGGGAGAGACCCCAGGCTTTGGAATTATCCAAGCCCCCTCATCGATAAATAAATCACCATGGATGCATCAGAATAAACCCAGCAGAGCCCCCCTTGCCTTCAAATCCCACCTCTGTCCCTACAGGGTTTTATTTGGGGGGGGATGGGACCTTGCTGTCAGACTCAGTTCTGCTTTTAAGATGGGGGGGAAGGAATGAAATCAGGGCAAAGCTTTGCCGACGTGTTGGGATCGTCGCCGTCCGCCTTTTAATGTGATTTATGCCTGGATTTCTAAATCCAGCCACTGACTGCACGCTTTAAATATAGCTCCAAAAACACCCTGAAAACGTGTAGTAAGCACGTTAGAAACAGCGGGCGGAAAGGATGCACAGCACCCCCCGGCTAAGGATGGGGAGTACGGGGGGGAGGGGGGGTTGTGTGTGGGGGGAAAAAAATGGGATTTTGGGGGGCCCAGCAGATGGGGATGGGGGTCCAGCAGGGCCTGTGCCCAGCCTGTGGGTGCAAAGTCGAGAGCTGGGTTGGCAGCGAAGGGGTGAGTGTCCCCCACCCCCCACACCTTGGCAGCCCCCCAAGACGGGGGAGATGCGTTGGAGGTGGGGGGCATGGCTTTGCTTTTCCTCCCACGCCTCCAGAGAGCCTCCCCCAGCTCCCCCCAGTCCCAGATTCCTTCCCCCCTCCCTGTCCTACCTGAATCCCGGGAGGGGGAGAAGTGCCCGGTGTGGGGCTGGGGGCTGCGAGCTCCGCACCGCTCCCCTCCGCCTCCGCGGCCACCGGGAATTTCGTGTTCGTCCGGGGAAGGGGAGAGAAGGGAAGAATGGAAAAAAAAAAAAAAAAAAAAAAAAAAAAGAGAAGAAAAACAAACCACACCAAACCAGGAAGAAACGCCAAAACAAAACAAAATGGAGAATAAATAGGTGGGGGTTGGGGGAAAGGGAAAATAAAAGAAAATTAAGGAAAAAGCACAAGGGGAGAGACGGAGGGAGCGGAGGGAGCGGAGCAGGGCCCCCCCCTTCCCCGCCCCGATGTTATTTTTAATAAAAATAGGTATTTTTGCAGAAAGCGCTGTTTGCGGCAGAGCTTTGGCGCTGGGCGAAATGTGGGAGCGGCCGCCACCCCCCAAATTTTACGGGGTACTCGCAGCCCCCCAGCTGCAGGGGTGGGGGGATTATTGGGGGAAAACAAACAGGGAAAAAAACGAGTAGCTGGCATTTCTTCTGGAAAACGCTGGGAAAACAGGCTCGCCCGCAGCAGCGCGCCGGAGAGGGAAAAATAATAATAATAATAATAACAATAACAATTAGAAAAACGCGTATGTTAGATCGGAAGGGAGCTTTTTTTTCTCTTTTTTTTTTTTTTTTTTTTTTTTTTGTTTTCGGAGGGTGTTTTGCAGCAGCCAGGAGCTGCTGTACAAGATGGCTCCCGGCCGGGGGAAGGGGAGGAGGAGGAGGAGGAGGAGGAGGAAGGGCTGGAGTTGCAGGGAGGGGGGGTCGTCCCCCCCCCGCCCCGCCCGAGCCTGCTTTTTTTTATTTTTTATTAACATTTCCCTGATTTATGACATGCCAACCCCCCGGCCCGGGGACAGCGGCGGGGAGGTCCGGGCGTGAAGGCATTAAACATTTATAAAATATGCTTTTAAAGCCACATAAAAGCGATCAAACCATTAATATTTTTTTCCCCCTCACCCCCAATTCCCCCGTTTTTTGGTTTTTTTTTTTTTTTTTTTTTTTTTTGTTTTTGGTTTACTAAAGGAGACTGGGAAAAGAAGCGCCCTCCCCTTGGAGGCAGCGGGGTTTGAGCCCTCGCCTCTGACGCAGTTTTGCTCTTAAATATAAATAAAAACATAAATACATGTTATTGTTATTTATTATTATTATTATTTTCGCGTTAAACCAGGGCCTTGAGCAGCGTGAGAGCTTTTCGACAAACTCGATTTTGCCTTGGAACGTTTAAAAATAAGCAGATTTTTGGGGCAGTTTCTCCTCTTTTCTGGCCGATGTCCCGGTGGGCGCCTCGAAACTCCTGTCCGGGGGCTGGGGGGGGGGACGCTTTATTATTATTACTTTTAATTTATACCGGATTAAATTAGATTTTTTTCCTCCTCCCCTTTTTCGTTATAAAAGCCGATTTTTGTTTAATTAAGTAAAGAAGCGGGGAAGACTGGGGGGTTTGGCAGCGATGGGGTGTCCCCCCTCACTTCTGCCCGAGGAATGCTCTGTGGTGAGCAAAGGGAAAAACACATTAAAAAGGTGGGGGGGGGAGGGAAAAATAAATTAAAAATAGAAAAAAAAAAAGAAAAAGGAAAGAAAAGTAAAAGTTGGTGTGGCAGTGCTGGGGGGCCGCCCCGCTCACAATCCAGAGGGGGGGAGTGTGTGTGTCTCCTCCTCCAGCGTCCCTTTTCACCCTATTTTTGAATTTTTGGGGAGGCGGGGCCCACAGGGAGGGCAGGGGACCCTCCCCCGCTCCCCCCCGGCCCTGAAAGGCCGCTTTGTCCGCGGCGGGGCCGTGGGAGAGGGCCCGGCGGCACTTCCCCCTCAGGCCTGCCCGGGCGGGATGAAGGATTTAACCCGCACAGATAATAAAGGGGGTCGCGGGGCGCTCCCCCCTCACGGCCCCGCTCGGAGCGGGGGAGCCGCGGCCGCTCCCCGCCAACCGCCCGCCCGCTCCGGGCGGCAGCGCGGGGGCAGCCTGGAAACAGCAGCGGGAGCGCCGGGGGCGGGGCGAGCGGGGGGCCTGGAAACAGCCGCCTGTTTACCCGCTGCTGAGTGACAGCCAGGCCGTCCAATGGGAAAGGGCACAGCGGCCGCGGGCCCGCCCCCGCCGCGCCGAGAACAATGCGTGTTTCATAGCCCCGCCGCCGCCGTTTTTCCCTCCCCCATTCCCCCGTTTTTTCCCTCCCTCCCTCCCGCCCAGCTCGGCGGGGCCCCGCCGCTCCATGGCGCGGCCGCCACCGCGTCGCTCCCGCGCTGCTGCCCCTGAGGAGCGGAGCGGAGCAGCGGAGGAGCCGGGCGGCGGGCAGGGCTGCGAGCCGGCACCCCCCGCCCCTGCCCCGCACCGCCGCCATGCCCCGCGACCAGGCGGCCTGACCGCGCCGAGGTAGGACCCGCACCCGGATCCGCACCCCGACCCCGGGGCGGCGGTCCCGTCTCCCTCCACCACCCCCCCCGAACCCCCCTCTTCCGCCACATCCCTCCCGCTTTTTGCCCCTTTTTAGCCGTTTTCCTCTTTATTGGTTACTTTCCAGCCGGGAGCCGGCCGCTCCCGCAGCCCCCGGGGTGAGGCTCGCCCCGAGCAGCCACGCAGGCAGGGTTTAATTAATTTCAAAATCCACTCGAAAATATTTTTTAAAAGCCCCACCAAAGCAAAGCAGTGAGATTTTTTAGGGTATAATTTAGCATTTCTCCCCTCTTTCTTTCTTTTTTTTTCCTTTGTTATGGTTTTTTTTTTAAAATCATCCCTCCCCCGCGCTGGAGCGTCCGCCCGCGAGCCGGGACGGGCGGCGGGGCCGGAGCGGCGGCTCCCGGGGCTCCGGGAGCGCCTGGAGGGGGTTTGAGGGGGAGAACCTCCACTTTATCCCCGCAGTGTTTATTACTTCTCGCTATCCCAGTACAAAATACTGCGGGCGAGTGGAGCCTTTCATCAGGCTGCGAGTACAAATATAGATAGTTTTATATATATGGTGGGGTTGGTTTTATTTTTTGGGTTTTTTTTTTCTTTTTCGCTGTGCCGGGAAATGATAATACGGGTTTCGTTTTCCCGAGTGAAAGCGGCGCTGCGAAAAGGAAAAATAAAAAAACCCAGCCCAAACAAGCCCAGTCCGTGTTTTGGAGCCGTGGGAATGAGCTCCGAAAGAAGCGAGAAACGGGGCTGGCGGAGAGGTGCCGCCGCCGGAGCCCGCGGCGGAGGAGAAATAAAGAAAAGGGGGGAAAAATAAAAAATTAAAAACTAAAAAAAAAAAGGGGGGGAGAAAGAAATGAAAACAATAAATATTTGAGTGGTTTTTTTTTTTTTTTAGTTGTTATTTTAGGATTTGTGTGTTTGTTTTCCGGGGCGAAGTGCGGTGCCGCGTCCCCGCTGGTCGGTCCCGCCGGAGCCGGGCTGCGGGCGGGCGCTGCCCGGGGCTGCGGCCGTGACAAATGTAACTCTTGGGAAAAAAAGTTTAAATTCTTCAAATACTATTTTTAAATACTTAGGTTTTTTATGTCCCTGCCTTTTGCCACAAGTTTTCCTTAGATTTTTTTTTTTTTTCCCTCCTCGCTTCTTCCCCGCTCTCTACCCTCCAGGGGGCGGGAAGGCGGTGGCGGGCATCGACAGCGATCCGGGAGACTCCGTGTAGCCGGCGAGTGGATGATGGATGGCCGAGATTTCGGGCCCCCCCGCTCGGTGCACGGCCCCCCTCCGCTGCTCTCCGGGCTGGCCATGGAGAGCCACCGCCTGGGAGCCACCGGCCGCCTGGCCCCCGCCGCCGGGCCCATGGCTGCCGGGCTCCCCGCCGCCCTCCAGCCCGGAAAATTCCTCGCATCGGGCATCAGCCTCCACTCCCACCCGGGTAAGGCTCCGCGGAACCCCCCGCGCCTTCCTTCCCTTCCCTTCCCTTCCCTTCCCTTCCTTCCTTAGATTTTTTTTTTTTTTCCCTCCTCGCTTCTTCCCCGCTCTCTACCCTCCACTCCGGCAAGGTGCGGGTGGGTTTTGGGGGGTATTTTTGGGGGTGGCTGTGAGCAGGGGGGTATCGAGGCATGTCGTCTGACCGCACCTCCCCCTTCTTTTCTCCTTTGCAGGCAGCGCCGAGACCGCCGCGCCGGGGCTGGCTCCCTGCACCGCGCCATGGGACGCTTGGACGCCTTATTTTTGAAAACCATCTCCCTCCGCGGTCGCGGGCGGAGAACCCGGGATCGGGCTTTAACCCCCTCCCCAAAAATATAAATGTCGTCGTGATAATTCTGTGTTTATGCGCTCGCAGCTTTTTCGCGTGTTTTTGCCCAAGTGTTTTCTGCTTCGCGTGGTTTTGATTCGGCGAAAAAAAAAAATAGGGGAGTCGGGAAGGAGTACGAAAACAAATAGGGTGATGGTGGAGGAATAAGGGAATGGAGTAAAAAATAGGGGAATACGGGGAAAAAATCGTGTCTGTCCGATAAAGTCCTCCCTTCCAGCGTACGGTTTTGTTGGCACTGAGGAAAATCCCCGCCGCGGCGGCTGCGGAATAAATCCGGGGAATAAATTCGATTTTCGGGAAAGCGGGGAGAGGCGCAGAGCGGGTTGCGGAGGGACGGGACTGCGCTGCCGCTGCTGCCCTTCCCGGACAGCCAAAAAAACCATCCCTGGGCTGGGAAAAAGGGGTAAAATGGGGCTCTTTTGGTGATTTCTTGCCCGGTGCAGCCCGAGCCCCGCTGAGGTCCCGCTGTCCCCGGGCAGCGCTGCCGGCATCGCTGGTTTTGATGGTTTTTTTTTAGTTTTTTCTTTTCTTTCTTTCTTTTTTTTTCCCTCCGAAATTCTTATTTTTGAAACCCGCGAACAAACCTTCCGTGCAGTGTGCAGTGACTGCTCCCTCCATGAATTTTTTCCCCCTTCTCGACGCGCTTCATCCTCGGGCAGCCCCACGGCTGCACATCCATTAAAAAAAAAAAAAAAAAAAAAAAAAAAAAAAAAAAAAAAGTAGACGCTGAAATATACGCAGTTTATTTTTTCCCCTACTGTTAGCTTTTTATTTATTTGTTTAAATTGATTTTGTTTTTTGGTGGTTTTTCATTTTTTTCCCCTTTTCCGAGCTCCCTTTCCCAGCGGCTCGCGGAGTCCGGCGCTGCTGGGAGAACGCTGCCGCACGGTCCTGTAGGAGGACACAAGGGATTTCTGACCGTTTGATTTCCCTCTCTGGCTCTATTTTTAATTTTTTTTCTCCGCTTTCTTTCCCCTGGGCGTGGAGAGGTGACTCGGAGTTTACTTTAGGCGTTGGGAGGGTGACAGGTTTTGCAATAATAAACCTGCTTTTCTCCCAGCC